CTTAGTTATACAAAGAAAGGAGTAGTAAATGTAGGAGTTAAGAAGCTGAGAAGAAAAAAGTTGAGGAAAATATCCAAAGATTTTAGAGGGTCTTCACCAAGGATGAAGCATACATGGAGGGATGTTGGTTTATGGGAGAGGTAGCCAACTTCCAAGGTGAGAAATAAGGAGCTCCTTGAAGAGCTGGGTTGGTGAAACAGCTGTGAAGAAACCAAGCTAGAGCGTGGGGCTGGACACAGAGCAGGAGGGCTTGCACTGCCTGCCAAGGAACGGGAACCTTACAATGAATTTCTTTAGCCTTCAATGCAGCCAGAATAGAAGGTGAAAGGCCATAGGGTAGACATGAATTTGATTTTATAAAGGTTGACAGTTTAACAAAAGAAAATCTGATGACTAATCATGCCGAGTTCCTCTTTATATGCACAGTAGGTATTCTTGTATCTTATTAAGTGCCAGTTCAAGATTTTTGCTTTTTTTAAAAAAAAGATTTATTGATTTATTCTGAAAAGGTTTATTGAGAAGGGGAGAGAGAATAGAGATTCCATACGCTGGCTCACTCCCCAGAGGGCCACAACAGCCACTGCTAGGCCAGACCAAAAAAGCTTCTTCTAGACCTCCCACGAGAGGAGAGGGGCCCAGGTCCTTGGGCCATCATCTTCTGCATTCCCAGTCCATCAGCAGGGAGCTGGTGTGGAAGTAGATGTTATTACTGAGTTGAGTGCTCTCCACATGGTCTGCATGCAATTCCTTTGTCTGATACATGGACAGTGATTATTACTTTCCTAATGTTCTCTTTTAATGAGCAATAACTTTTCACGCTGCTTAAGCCTAATTTATTCTTCAAACAGAAGCAGAGTTATGCAGAGAGGTAGATCTTCCATCTGCTAGTTCACTACCCAAATGGTCACAATGACCAGGATGATCCAGGCCAAGGCCAGGAGCCTGGAACTACATGCGGGAACTACTCCTATAGAAGCGGCAGGTGTCCTAGGACTTGGGCCCTGTTCGCCTGCTTTCCCAAGTGCATTAGTAGAGAGCTAGATAGGAAATGCATCCAGGACTTGAACCAGTATTCATATGAAATGTCAGCTCCTTGAGTCCAATTTTTACAATATTTTAAATGCTTTAATCATTTTTTAATGTTTTTCGACTACCCCAATGTTGAAAAAAGTCCATTATGATTTCTTCTTCTTTTTTTTAAAAAATATTTATTTATTCATTGGAAAGTCAGATATACAGAGAGGAGGAGAGACAGAGAGGAAGATCTTCTGTCCATTGATTCACTCCCCAAGTGAGCACAACGGCCAATGCTATGCCAATCTGAAGCCAGGATCCAGGAATTCCTTTGGGTCTCTCACACGAGTGGGGTCCCAAAGCCTTGGGCCGTCTTCCACTGCTTTCCAGGCCACAAACAGGAGCTGGATGGGAAGTGGAGCTGCCGGGATTAGAACTGGTGTCCATATGGGATCCCGGTGCATTCAAGGAGAGGACTTTAGCCACTAGGCCAAGCCGCTGGGCCCCATGATTTCTTCTAAAAACATTATTATTCTGGCTTTTATATTTAAGCTACAATCCATCTTGAATTAATAGTTGTATATAAAATTAGGTGTCAAGGCTCATTTATTCCCCATATGGATATTAAGTTATTCCAGCATCATTTGTCAAGAAAGTTTTCTGTTCCCAACTGAGTTGCTTTGGTGCTGTCACTATAAGCCAGCAGCCTATGTACTATTTTTGAACTCTATTATTTTTCATTCCTTTATTTATATATCCTTATGCCAGGATCACCCTGTCTTAATTACTAGAGTATTATAGTAAATCTCAGAGTTAGGCAGTATTAATTAGTCCTCCAATTTTCATCTCCTTTACATGATTGCTTTCAGCTATTTCTGCCCTTTGCAGTTCCATATACATTTCTGAATCAACAATTGATTTCTACAAAAGATTCTGATGAAGTTTTAATTGCCCCCTTATTTGGTTGAATTTATAGTTTAGTGGTTTGCAGAGTGTGAATGCTGGAATAGCAGCATCAGCACTGCCACCAGAACATGTTACACATACAGGTATCTAGGGCCAGTGCCATGGTACAATAGCTTAAGCCTCTGTCTACAGTGCTGGCAACCCACAAGGGTGCCAGTATAAGTCCTGGCTGTCCCACTTCTGATCCAGCTACAAGATTACATGCCTGGGAAAGCACAGAAGGATGAGCCAAGTTCTTGGGCCCCTAAACCCATATGGGAGAACTGGAAGAAGCTCCGGGCTCCTGGCTTCATACTGGCGCAGCTCCAGATATTATAGGAGTGTGTACCTGAAAATCAAAGATCTCTCTGTGTCTTGCCCTCTTTCTGTAAATTGACTTCCAAATAATAGTAAATAAATCTTTAAAAAAAGATAAATGAACCACTGTTAAATAAAAAACCAATACACATATCCAGGCCTTCTCATTAGACCCAGTTATCAACAATTCTGAGATTAAGGCCCAGCAAGCTCTGTTTTGGAAGAATTTCCAGGCAACCCTTATATACTAAGAATCTATTCTTGCAGATCAATTTGGGGAACTCAAACAGCAAGTCTGCATAGTCGTGAAGAGTTACTTCAGAGTAATTTGAGTTTACTTTAATTTTTCTCACCAACATTTCACAGCTTGAAGAGAATAGGCCTTGCACATATATTTTGCTCAATTTATCCAAAATAAGTCATGTTTTCTGATGCTACTGTAAACAGTATTGCCACAGCCATGGGCTTTTTAAAAAGTATTTTTATTCATTTGAAAGACAGAGAGAAATGCACACACACACACACACACACAAAGATTTTTCATCTACTGATTGACCCTGGGTGCCTGCAACAGCTGGGGGTGGGGCAAGCAGAACACAGGAGCCAAGAGCTCCTTCCAGGTATCCCAGGTTGGCGGGCAAAGGTCTAGGCCCTTGGGACATCATCTGCCACCTGCAGGGTGGACAGCAGCAGCAAGCTAGACCAGAAGCAGAGGTGAAATTGATCCCAGACATTCCAAGATGGGATGTGATTGCCCAAGCATTGGCTTCATTTGGTGTGCCAAGTGATGCTAAGAATTAATGTATGGCTATAAGAGTCACTGTGTACCCGAGGCACAGCACTAGCATGGGTGAAGAATGAAGAAGCTGTGACTCAGGAGAGCACTGAAGGGGGGAGAATGCCAACAGTACGGGAGAGTGGCCTGGATGCTGGCAAATAGAAAAGTGATGACCAGGTACGTAGAAACACACTTGCATTACCAAGGTCATCCACACTGGCGGCCCACAAAACGGAAGAGCATTTTGGAGGGGGCATGTGTTGGGGTGTGGGAGGCAGGAGCAGGTGAATCTAATTTTTAGCTGGATAAGGGAAAGTGACTACAAGTCACTTCAGGATAAAGAGGACTCACCATCTTGCAGACACAGGCAGATTTCATTTGTGTTTATGTGGTGGAGGACTCTACAAACCTTCTAGTGGGGCATGGTAATTTGTTAACAAAGAAAAGAAGAGAAACCAGGATAAAGGAAAAGTGTGTGTATCTGTCTGTATTTACTGTAGAGGGTAGAGAAAAGCATAAACAACAATGTGGATAATAATATTTTAGGAAGGTAGCCACAAGATGACAAGAAATGACAAGAAAGCATTGTGGATGGAATGACTTGTTCTCATGGTTCTGACTGCAGCTCTGTTTGAACTTGTGGAACTAAAGAAGATTTACAGGAGTGCTGCTGAAAACCCAATTGCTGTAGTCACCACAATCAAATCATTATGCACCTCAACGTTTCTATAGACAAAGGTTTTCTGAGTTCTGGGGAAAAGCAGCATCTTTGCTCTGAGAACAGAGGTGTTAGTTATGGCCAGGAGGAGGGGACTCGGAAGGGCTCTACCTCCCACCATAAACAAATTTATGTCCATATCAACTATTTCCTTTCCAAAGAACCTCTTTAGTCCAAAGTTTACTAATGCTAGAGAGAAGAACATGAGAAAGGGAGGGCAAAGGCCAAGCCAGGAGCAGCATGGGCCGGCACAGGAGGAGTGGAGCAGGTCAAGTTAGGTGCACCAAGTGTGCCATCCAGATTCCACCACGAAGGAGCTCACCTGCCACCCAGCAGGGGCTGAGTGCAGGAGCCCCCTGATTGTGTTCCTGGCAAGTGCTGTGGCAAGGAAATGCAAAAGGGAAAGGAAGACATCGTCCTCAGACAGCAGTGGAGGAAATGCTTCCTGTCCCCTGGGCAGAAAGTATACAAGACTATATGCCAACGACTTTGTTGGCTGCCATTTTATAAAACACGCTTATTTCTTAGAAAATTAGTTCAGAAATCTTTATGCAATTTTTTCAAATAAAAATTATGAAATAACCATGTTTTTGAGATGCATGTATCACAGCATTCCTATGTCTCATTTTCTGTTTATCACCAAAATCATACATTTTTAGGGTTTCAAATAAAAATTGAATGATGAATCACTGAGAACTACATGTTTTATTTATTGATTACATATTTGAAAGTCTCCCCTGATACCTGACACAGTTAAATATAGAAAATTAAGGGCAACATAAGAACATAATTTGGATGAGACCAATCAGCACTTCTTAAATGTGGGATTAAAAAACAACAACAACAAAAAAAACCTTTTCTTTAACCAGAGCATGCATGACCATGCACAACTCCCAGGGGCAGAAAAAATGACCTGATGCAAGCCACCAGGAACCAGACTTCGACAAATGCTACTACTATGCTTTTTAAGTTTTCAATAGTTCATTAAAATAACATATTAATTTTATGTTAGTCTGTAAAGTGTATATTTTGTCACTAATTGGTGTTAACAGTTACTGTATTAATAAATCATTTGGTACACAAAACATAGAATCATTTTCTGTGGAGCAAAATTAACACTTTTTGGGAAGATGCATCAGGCTTTATGTCTCCTTGGGAGTGTAAACTCCCAACCGAGAAACAGCGCTACAAACACAAATCATTTGAGTATTTCCTGTGTCTTCTTACCTCCATGGTGGGGGGAGTCTTTCTGGTTCTTCTAATCCAAGCTAGAAAAAAAAATACAGTTTTTCATTATTTAAAGAAATATTTTATTCATTTGCATATAAAAATAATTTTTGTGCTCCTGCTATATATTGTTTAGATCTTAGGGATAAATTAGGAATCGAACACATGGGATCTTTCCTCTGCTATGACACATCTACGAGCAAAGGTGGTACAGAAAATCGCAGACACAATGTCAGGTGGTGAGTCATGTTAAGGAAAAAACGTAAAAGTGCAGTGACGAAGAAGTGGGGTCAGTTCCCATCACTAAAACCACACCTCAATTTCATGTAATAACAGCAATTCAATTTTGTGAATTGATGGCATTCAGACCAAATCACGATACAGTAACCTTCAAGACAGGGTCAAAGCTTCACTCTCTGGAGATTTAAATTTGATCTTGTTTACAAAGGAAGGGACTTAAGAAAGTTCTTTACAGAGATTTCTCCTCTGATCCATCCCAGCAAGCTCTCCTGCCTCTGACTGGTAAGTATCATGGCGTTTAGCTCTACCACTTTAGATGTGGAGAGACACAGACCTGTTAAGTGCCCGCGGGCAGCTGGGCTGTGTGCGGGATGCTTTATAGTGATGAGACGCGAGTCAGGCCGCTGCCTCTGACAAAGTTATCAGAATCCTAGCGAAGAAACTATAGCGCTCAGGCTAGCAGGTTTGAGAGTCAGGTTTTCTGGGTTCAGAGTCCAACTTCATCACTGATGGGCCTTGTCTGTCATGTGAAGCGAGCTGTTCAATTTTCTAAGCGGCAAATTTCCCATCTGCAAAATGGAAGTGTCTACATTTTGGGGTTGTTGTAAACAATAGGAGATAATATAAATGCTTACTTGGCTCAGAGTCTGGCTGGCATACAGGAAGCACACATGCCTAAGTTAGAACTATTATCATTATTTTAGTCAATAAGCAATGTATACTTTTGTAACAGACTGAAAAAAAGTAAACATCAACCACATCTGGTTGGGCTATGAGGATGTATGTACAGGAGACTATGGAGAAATAAATACACAGAGGAAATACAGTCTTTAAAAAACAGAAAACGTGAGGCTGGTGTTATGGGACACCATGTTACACTGCTGCTTGCAATATAAGCATACTCTTTCCAAGCACCAGTTCCAGGTCCGGACACTCTGCTTAGGGCCCAGTTTCCTCGCCGGGGGAAGAAGGCAGACAACCCAATTGTATGGGCCTCTGTTATCTGCTCGGGAGACCTGAAGGGCTTCAGCCTGGCCAAGCTCTGGCTACTCAGGCCTTTTAGAGAGTAAACAGGTGGACTCAAAATTGATTCTCTCTCTGCCGCTCTCTGTCCCTGTGCCTTCCAAAGAAAACACACATCTAAAAACCAAAAATAGAAAGCTGGGTGTGCTTAGTTTTTAAGGTTGGGTTTAGCTAAGATATCCACATTTAATTAATTAAGCTGAGATATCCACACCTCATACCAGGTTTGATTCCCGGCTCTGGATGCTGACTCCAGCTTCCTGCCAAGGCAAAATCCAGCCATGATGGCTCATGTAGAGGCCCTGCTACTTCATGGGAAACCTGGACAGTGTCTCTTTTTCTGTTTCTCAAATTAAAAAGGGATGGGTATTTAGCTGAGCAATTAAGATGCTGATTGGGATGCGTGCATTGACTGTCATGGCTCGATCTCTGTCTCTGCTCTCAATTCCACCTTCCTGCCGACACACATTCTAGGAGGCAACAAGTGACAGCCCAAGGAGCTTGCTCCTTGCCACACTACCTGGGAGATCTGGACTGAGCTCCTGGCCCCACGAGCTTTTGAACACTGAACAGGAGTTGGGATGCACCAACAGAAGATATTTTTCTATTACCTAAATACTGTGAAAAATCAAGACTTTCATCCTTGAGAACATTCTTCCAATTTAGAATTAGAAAACATAGTTTGGCAATATCAAAATTCCTTCCTACAGTTACAGAAATAAATAATTCATGAAATGTTTCAATTTGTTCTTTAGACTCAAAATAAGTTACTTGTTTATAGATTTATTTTTCTTAAAGAATCTTCTTTTAAAATAATTCAACATCATCTATATCTCTCAAAAAATTATAAGCAATAACCTTTCCACTTTAATTTCGATTACAAAGTGAATTAAGAAAAAAATGAACTGCTAGAGCAGGGGTAAGTTAGAGCCTATAAGACTAGCTCAAACCATCACTTATTTTTATGGGCAAAGCTCGCTTCTGCTGCGCTAATCTCCCGCAAACCATCATTTATTTTTAAAAGGCTGAAGAAAAATCAAAAGAACAACATTCCATTAGACATTAAAATAACACAATTTCAAAATTTAGTTCTGCAAATAGGTGTTAAAATTTATTTGTTTTATTTGAAAGGCAGAAGAGACATAGATATTCCATATGCTAGTTCTTTCTCCCAATGTCTGTAACAGCAGGGGTTACACTAAGCCAAAGCCAGAAGTCAGAAACTCAACCAAGGTCTCCCATGTGGGTGGCAAGCACCCAGGCACTGCTTCCCAGGCTGCGCACTTGCAGGAGACCAGGTTGGAAGAGCAGCTGGTACGCAAACCCATGATGTCCGAGAAGAGATGTGGGTGCCTTACAGAATGTCTGGACCAAACATCTGCCACCTGCCCCCTTCACCTTGGAGTCTTGTGTGAGTGCACAGGGTAGAGGCGGTAGGTGACAACTCAGCTCAACTTTGGTCTCTGCCACCAACATGGCTCCTGGTTTTGGCCTGACACGGTCCCAGCTGTTGGAGGGGATACTGTCTTCCTCTGTTGGCCTTTCAAAGGAATTAAATAGATAAAACAAATACTACATAGTCTTTACTATCAGGGAACATTATTTTCTAAGGAAAGACAAGAAATCTTCTTTTAGCTTTATTCTCAAGGATTATTTAAAGGGTCTTTGTATTATAGAGACATGGAAATATAATTGGTTAAATAAATTTTCCACACTTACAGTCCACAATCACAGAAACCTGAAATGTCTTATTGAGATGATGGTTGATGCTAGTATCGTTCATTATATATTCAGTAAAAGTTACAGCAGCAAGTGTTCACTGTGATCACTAATTTATATAGATCATCGCCACTTTTCCAACTGCTACACTTAATAAAAGAAACGTCATAATGAAGGTCAGAGAAGGTTAGGGGGAGGAAAGAATAGGAGAAAACATTAATATCAAACCATTACTTTTTTTTAACCTCAAAACAATCTGAAACTATCCAATTAGAAATTATATAATCATTCTGTCATGGCTAATTATATCTGTATGTTGGATTCTGCATCAATCCTCATTATAATGTAACTACTGTTTGAAGAGAATTTAGCAAGATAACTGGACAGTTTATGCCATAAGATCCTAACATTCTTTCATCAATGTTCATTTGCATTCTCATCAGTATGCATGAGATTTTACTGAACTTTAATACTCCTATTGGAACATAACACACTGTAATGAGCATAAAAGTGAGCATGCAAATTAAAGCTCCTATTAATCACTACAAGAGACTGGAAGCAGGCAGGAAAACACTCCATGAAGCACACAATCTTCAAACCCCACAGGCACTCAACATGGCTAACACGCTTTCAGCACTGCCGACGGGGCTATGGAAAACGAGAGCTTCTATGGCAGGCTCAGTAGGTGACCAATTCAGATTCAGAGGTGTGAAAAGGTTATCAATAGTCTGCATGCAAAAGATGCCACATTTGAAATGTGCTGTTTGCTGAAGAGACTTAAGTCTAGCCTTGTCTTAAAAAAAATTAAATTAGAGAAGCAGACACAGCAGCATGAACACGTGCATGCAGGTGTACACACACACGCACACACACACACGGGCACACAGAGGCACACACGCACACACACACACAGACACACACACAGAGGCACACATGCACAGGCGCGCACACACACAGAGGCACACATGCATAGGCATGCGCACACACACAGGCACACATGCACACACACATGCACACACAGGCACACATGCGCACACAGAGGCACACACACACAGAGGCACACAGGCACACACGCACACACAGAGGCACTCATGCACACACACGCACACACAGGCACACAGAGGCACACACACAAGCACACACACAGGCACACACACAAGCTGAAGCAGTAGGCAGGGATTGAAGCGAGGTCTCCTTTGTGAGGGACAGAACCCAACCACTTCAGCCATCAGTCCCACGACCCAGGGTTCGCACTGTCAGGAAGCCAGAGCCAGGAATCCCAGGCCTGGTTCCCACGCATCTAAGAAATGATCTTGTCAATTATGGGTGTTGACACTTCACAAAGAACTGTAAAAATAAGAAATGGATATTTCTCAAATATGAAAAAAATTCCTCAAAGGATTTATTTTGAAGAGAGTCATTTGCTGATTGCTAACCTTTAAGCTTATCTCAAGGATAATATTAGGTTAAATGATAGGTTTTGAGGCGCTCCTGGCTATTATTGTTCATTTTTTAATTCTATTGAGATTTACATCAAAGACAGTGAAGCCATTTTTAGTATCCCATTGCATAAGTGCTTAAAAAAAGTGTACAACCCTGTGACCAGCACTACAATCAGAATACAGAACATTTCCATCACCCCCAAAGTTCTCTAGACTTCACACTTACATGTACCGTCCATTCCATCTAATCCCACCTACAGCCCCCAGGCAATACGTGATATATGTACTTTCTGTCACTGTAGGTTAGTTTCTGTTTATAACTCCATATAAGTGGAACCTTGCAGCAGTCTGGCGTCTGTCTTATTTGATTCAACATAACGTTCTGAGGTTTATCATGTTCCTATATGTGTAGAAAATACTTGCTTAAGGCAGCCTCTACAACTCACAGCGTTTGGTTCAGATGCCTGTGTATGATCTCTTTTTCGTGAGTGAGGGCAGAACCAGTGGTGACTTACTTGTAACTATGACAACATGGCCAAAAGAATGAGACATATATGACCACATGATTACAGTATACAAGGTTGTGACACCATCTTGAAGGGCAGTCATTTTCTCCCTGATTGGCTATAAGGAAAGGGCAGCTATGTTGGGAAGCCTCATCTGGTTAAAACTGCTGCTAACCTCCAAGATTCATCAGCCAAAAACTCTGAAGATGTCACTGTCACAGTTTCAGGCAAGTGAATGCTGCCAAAGACCACACAAGTAGGAAGGTGGCTCAAGCCTCTAGATGACAACCCTGCCTTGACTGACAGCTTGATTGCAGACTTACGAGATGCTAAATAGAGATCCTAGCTTGGGTGTGCCTGGGGCTCCTGACCACAGGAACGGTGAGATAATAAATATACTTTTTTTTGGGGGGGGGGGTGTTGTTTTAAGCTGCTAATTTCGTGGTGACAGTGATACAGAGCCCCAAAAGCAGACACAAGGAGTTCCACAGCAGTTCATTTTATTGCTGTTCAGTATTCTATTTATGGAAACATGGCAATTTTTAAAGTCATTTACTTGTTGGCTATTTGAGTGATTCTCATGTTTGGAGCTGTAATGAATAAATCTGCTATTAAAAAATCCAGGCACAAGTATATGGGTAGCCTGTCTTCCCTAAACCCTTCAGCAGAATCTCTGTTACAGGTTAGGAACACATTTAAATGTATTATGAATAACTGATAACTGTTTTCCAAAGTAGTTGTACCATTTTATAGTCTACTCAGAGGAATTCTTGGTATTGAAACTCCTTCAACGCTTCACAAGTTTAGTGCTACATACGGTATTTCATTGTTTTTTTTGGTTTTGTTTGTTTGTTTGCTTGTTTTTAATTTTCTCATTTGACAGATACACAGATGCTCCCATCTGCTGGCTTTCTCCCTAGATACCCACGACACTCAGAAAGGAGGGCAGAAGTCAGGTGCCAGGAACACAGGTGGCAGATACTCATTGACTATCAGCAAATCCTGGTGTTTGTACAGTTCTAACAGATGAAGAGTACAACTCTTCCTCCCCAGCCGCGACGGAACTCCTGTCTAAGACACATGATTACATGTCTAAGGCACAATATTACAAGAGCCTCCTGCTAACCTCTTTGCAATGAAAAATGAAAAGATTCAGCTAAATGTAACTCTAGAGAATATGACCATCCTTTTTAAAACCTTCCAACAGCTCCCTTTGTTTTACACTGGAAGCCCTCAGCACTACAAAGCCCGCATGACTGGATATCCTGGTAACGTAAACCTCATCTCCTATTACCTTTTCCCTGGCTCCATTCCATCCCACCGTGTGAGTCACACTGGACTTCTTCGCTGTTCCTTAAACACCTGAGCATGCTCCTGCCAGTTCTATGTATCCATGTGGCCCCCATCTTCTGTCTTTATTCAAAAGTCATCTTCTCGGCAAGGCCTTTGGTAAACTTGCATTAAAATTGCCCAAATCACCCGATACACCTATGCCTTTTCCCTGCTTTACTCTTTGGTCGTCATTAGCACACTGTTCAGTTATTTCTCTAGCTTTCTGTTTCCCCCCCCCCCCCGACCTATTTGCCTATTCCAGAATCTAATTTCTGTGAAAACAGAGGTATTCAGTAAGGATACGGAGGGAAAGAGCATATTGTTTAATTCATATCATAGAGGCTGCATAACATGTGGTATCTGTATTTTGCTCCTAATAATTAACAAATGTAATAGTCACATGAATCTGAAAATACCTGAGGTTCCTTCACTCATTCCTGGAATCAACACCACGGACTTATGCTACTTTCCCTCTCCTTCCTTGTACATACTGTTTTAGCTAAGTTTATTTACATTTTAATTTATTTTTTCATGGTTTAAAGTTTTTGTTTTTTATATTTAATTGATGTGTACCACCATAAAAGTAATTTTTATTTCAATGTTTGGCTAATACATTTGTCTTAAGGCATGCCCTGTGGGATAGTAAGGCTGAATTAGTGGATCAGGGCAGAGTCATAAACAGCATTAAAACTTTATTCTAATTCTCTGAAAGTCTCAAAGGCTGAGAAATGAGTCATTACCTATTTGTTTATTTATAACTTAATTTATTTCTATAAACATCTTAATTCTATTCTATTATTGGGGAAATGATGAAATAGGCTCATTATAAAAAGGCACAAGCATTATTTGAGAATTGCAAATGTAGCTTATAACACTGGAAAGTCTGTTAAAATAAGAAAGCCCAATTACTCCTCTCAGAAGTTGCCAATTTATATTCTGGATTTCTTCAACCAAATCTTTAGTAGCTACCCATATTTATGCTCTTTTTTTCACAGTTCTAGTATTTTCATAGCTAATGAGCAGAAATGCAAAGAGATATTTTCATTAAATGATATTTACATTCACATGCTGGCATAAAAGTAACCCAGTGCCTATAACTACCACATGTAAGGTGTCCTGCTGGGCCCACCAGGAGGCAGTGGTTCTACTACTTACCCATGTGTGGAGCTACTCTAATTTAGGCAATTTATCTAGCCTTTCTAGACCTTAGATGCTCTGTCTATTAAATGCATACAGTTAGAGTGCCTAGCTCATAGACTTGTTGTGAAAATTAAACACAATAATGACTTCAAAGCATGTGTAACACCGGCCATGCAAGCAAGCACTTGGTAGAGGGTGAATTACAAGAGAGGTATTGGTGCTTCAATTAAGATTCTTGTAGCTACAAATAACAAATGCTAAATCGGGACAGATTCCATGGATTAAACAAACATTATCTGAGCACCTACTGTGTGTCAGCCGCCATGTCTAGAACTGATAAGAGAGAAAGAAGTCTGTAACAGAAGATTCAGGATGCCTCTTAGAAATCAAGCTCACAACTGAGCTTCATGCACAAACAAACTGAACTTGGAACTGTACAGTCCCTAGAAAGCTAGTAAATATTGTTATATACTTCTTCCACTTTTTTTGGCAAATTAATTTCGGTTTTTTTCTCCACCGATGAACTTCCGCTGATGGACTGAGGACAGCCCCTCACCACACCAAGTTGGTATGTTACTGTGTTAAGTCATAGTGAGAGGTTAACTCTGGCATTTTAGCTCCACCCTCCCTCCCTTGTTTTAAAATCTTAATTTCATAGATTAAGGATCAAAAGCCCTTCCTTGTCTATACAGGAAATTGCTATAGGGCCACTGCAGGTTGAATGAATATCTCAAATGGTACTAAAAGCCAACTATTATCTAAAATTTAAAAAAAAGACTTTTCTAAACCAGCAAAGTCTGAGAAACAGACTTCAAGTCCCAGGGTTGCACATGTCAGAGCGGGAACTGCCTTACGTTCTGCATTTTAGGATTGTCACTTGCCTGACCTTGGTCCCAACTCCACTAAAACTCTATAATTCTTGTTTGTCCTATTATATATGCTCCCTCACACAAATCTGGCATGTTCATAACTTTCAAAGGCAATGTTTAAAAACAATGATATGTTGATTGGGACTGCTGAAGTTCTTTGCAAAGAGGAACAGGCAGTGATGTCTGCTGTTACTGGTTCTGTACATGACTCGGTGGGTGACTTGCCTCCTAGAAGATGATCCTAAAAAGCGGTGACTTACCTTCCCATTCCGTCGGGATAGTGCCTACTTCATAGTCTACCACTTTTGTATTTGCGGCTTCCACAATTCTCTTCTCTCGAATTATTTGTCCTATAAGACAGAAGTGATCGAGACATTTTAAATGAATCTATGACACAGTGCTCATATTTTCTGAGACTGCACACACTCTTAGCTGGAGAAAGAATTGAGTAGGAAAAATATATTCCATTTACCATTAGTTAAGTTAGAAAAGGCAGTTTCAGGGGCTGTATTGTGGTGCAGTGAGGCCAACACCTAAGAAGCCTGCACTCTGTCACTCTGTAATCACTGGTTCTAGACTCAGCAGGGCTTCGACCCCTGCTACCCACACAGGGGTGTTGGATGAAGTTCAGGAATACTGGCTCTCACCTGGCACAGCTCTGTCTGTTGTGGCCATTTGGAGAACGGACCAGTGGACCGAAGATGTTTTTCTCAATCTGAACCTCTCTGTGGGTCTGCCCTTCAAGTTAATCACTGAGGGGTGAAAGGTGGGGAGGGCAATTTCCAAACTACAGCAAACTTTAATTTTCTATCACAGTCTGCAAAATTAATTTCAGCAAACATGATCTACATGATGCATACAGAAAAGACAGGGTAGACAGAGAAATCAAAACGTTAGTCATCAAGACAGCATTTGACTCCTTTAAGCTTATAAGTATATCCGTTAGCAGGGCCAATGACTGCTGGGCCTACCCAAGGAAGTAGAAGTGTAAGGCTCTAACAAAATGTGTAAAGAACTATGAGATCCAAACACTCCCTATACCATAGTATACTGGCAAATTCAAGGGACTCAAACCATGGATTGGATCCTATGGCCCAACGGAGTCACCACTTCTTAGGGCAATCTGAAGGAAGGCCAAAAACTGGTGCTGCAGGTGAGAGACCAACACCTCCAGTGACGGCAGCCGTGTGCAAACATAAAAGCAGAGGATTATTAGCCTGCCATGCCACAGTGCTGCTCCCTGCTATTCCTAAGGTTAAAAATAGATCAGAAAAATAAAAACTGACCTTTAAGAGTATTTCCAAAGTAAACAAAAACAATTTAATTCATTGAACGGAACAATTCTAACATCTTTCACTTCGGAAAATCTGGACAACACGATACAGGAGAGGAAGAGGATTGCCATCTCTGATATTACTTCTTCCAACACTCTATTATTAAAACTTTCTCATATTTCATTTCCATCTTTTATCATCATATAGATTGTAAAATATACAAATATTTAAAAATACATAGATACGTCTAAAAAGATTAGTGTCACAAATTCTTTTCTCTGCTTCAGAGAAAACAGCAAATTTCTAAAATCATTATTCTGTAAGCTAAAATAAAATAAAAAACCATCAAGGGCCAGCTCGATGACCCACTTGGCTAATCATCTCCACGCAAGCACTGGCACCCCATGTGTGTACCCCGTTGTGTCCCAGCTGCCCCACTTCCGTTTCACCTCCCTGCTGTGGTGTGGAAAAGCGGTCAAGGACAACCCAAAGTCTTGAGACCCTGCACCTGCCTGGCAGAAGCTCCTGACTCCTGCCTTTGGATTAGCTCATTTCCAGCCATTGCAGCCACTTGGGGAGAGAACCAACAGACAGATCTTCTTCTCTGTCTTTCCTTCTCTCTGTAGATCTGCCTTCCCAATAAAAATACATAAATCTTTTTAAAAATTAGTATTTAGTTTTTGAATATGTCTTGATATTATGAAGAAAAGGAAAGTGCCTGCATTGAGTGTGTTAATGACATTACTTTCTTTTTTTTTTTTAGATTTTTAAATTTTTTACTATAAAGGCAGGTTTACAGAGAGGAGGAAAGACAGAAAGAAACATCTTTCATCTGCTGGTTCACTCCCCAAGTGAGCGCAATGGCCAAAGCTGAGCCGATCCGAAGCGAGGAGCCAGGAGCCTCCTCTGGGTCTCCCACATGGGTGCAGAGTCCCAAGGCTTTGGGTTGTCCTTGACTGCTTTACTAGGCCACCTGCAGGGAGCTAGATGGGAAGTGGAACAGCTGGGACATGAACTGCCACCAGTTCATGTTGCCCACATGGATCCTGGCCCATGCAAAGTGAGGATTTTAGCCACTAGGCTACTATGCTGGGCTCCAACAACATTTCTTTTTCTCAATTTTGTTCTCAATGTGAAGAGAAAAATAAGAGTAGTTACATCTTTTAAGAACAGGGAAGTTAAAAAGTGCTAAAGGAAAAGCTATGACAATTAAAGTATGTGTTTCAGTTATGCCATACAGCGTAAATCTGATAAATTGTGACAGAATTTCAAGGTCAGAGGTGAAACCGGTAAAGCAGAGTGAGCCATTGAATATCCTGGTTACCAAAGGAATGTTTCTGACTGAGACAACAACTACCATGACTAAATCTCTACCTCTCCCTACTCCCCAGCCCAGAACATGAAGCAATGCTAGGGAAAGGAAAAAGGCTTTGCAGACACAGAATGTTCATCCAAACCCCAAGCCCAGACATTCTCCTTTCACATCAAGCTCCTGCAAGAGAACAATCTAAACAAGTCTGGTTGTAGAAAGGTGAGACTTGATATTCAAAACGGCACTTTCCGGCTAAACATTTTATTGTTAGTTTTGTGATATCTCTCTGAAGAAATTATTTTCGGTTTTTGAATAGGTTCCCCAGGTGTCAAAGTCCTGCTGTCATTCCTGTTTCTATGCCACATTTTTTTTTAACACATATAAACTACTACATGGAAAACAGTGTGTTATACTTCTTAAATCAATACTTGCTGATAATAAATCTTGAAAAAATAAGGAGGAGGAGCTTGTGATTTTCATTGCTTTTTAAGAATGACGTTATCATTTCATTTTAAGAGGTTTATGTGTACTTTTTCTGTGGAATATGTGTTCACATCCTTTGATCATCTTTCTATTGGATCCTGGCTATCTTATTCAATGAACGGCAGCAACTCACCACATATTTTAAAAGTTATATAATTAAGAATAATTCTGTGTCACTGATACAACAATTCTTTATGTCAGCATGTAAGGGATTAATCAGAATTATTTTTAAGTACACGAATTTAGGCATTTAAAAAATTTCAATATAGTTTTAATATAGTAAATATCAATACGCACCTCATATACAAAACTTTTCAGTGACTGTGAAGAATTTAAAGAAACCCCGAGACAAAAACATTGGAAAACTTTATCTTTCACTGCCAAAAAGCTAGGAATTCAGTAAGCCATTGTACTAACATAAACAAATAAAAAATAAGTAAATTAAAATAGATAAAAGAACACCAATTAATTATAGTGCCCCCAAAACAACATGTGGTAAATACTGGAGTTGGAAGACAGCATTTTTTTTTTTTTTTGTCAATCTTCACATAGTTAATTTGGGCAAAAAGGGTCAAGGGCTACAGGAAAGTGGATAAGACTATTACTTCCATATTGTTTCCTTCATATATCTGAGGTAGAGGGGGATATTGAGGGAGAAGCCCCACCCGGTTTCCCACCCACCCCAAGTCCCGCATGTGGGGCGTGCTCCTAGATACTCATTGAAGTGGTTTCAATTGGTCACCAGTTTTGAAATTGCTGCCAATCTTGTCTCTCCAAACACGATAAGGTTGTTGAAAAATTCATTAATTGACCTTGTCCATCATAGCGTCTCTATTTGCCCGGTATTTTGTTGCTAACCTATAGCTGAGGTGGTTGATTAACTTGTTCCATCTTCTGTCCCTTCATGGTTTGGGTTCTGAGTCTGGCATTCCAATTGGGGAGATCACCAAAGAAACTTCGTCTGAGGTGTTCCCAGGCCAGATACTTGTATGCACCAGCAAGCACAGGGCCCAGCACAGTCCATCACCCGGTCAGCAGGTAGTTGCAATTGCTGGGTTGGTTCTGTTTTCAGTCCCGCCCTCTACTGGAACCAATGGGTGTTGCAGTCCAGCCTGGTTCTGCACAGCACATACTCGGTCTTCACCTAAACCAGTGGGAGCTGCATCCTGATGAGAGCGACCCACAATAACCCCCACCAGGCCCACCCCCTACCCCGGTTTGCCAATATGTGTGGCAGACCAGTCCAATCTGTCCCATGTCCCCCCTGACTCTCGTACATGGCAAATGGTGTTGAAGCTTGGATCCATCTAACCAGCTCAACAGTCAAGCCTTCGCGGGTGTGGTTGAGTGCCTCTCTGCCTAGCTACCCCAGCCCCTGTCCTAGTTCTCGTGCCCTCCTGTGGGAGTGGTAACCCAAGAGGAAGGAACCCACTATTTCCCTCCCAGGTCTCTCACTCCCGGATTGTGCACTTTTCAGGTGGTTCTGCAGTTTAACTTGACAGGATTAGCCCAGTGCCAGTTTCTGCCAGCTGATGCTATGGCTATGGAAGGCAGCATTTCTATAAGCACTAAGGCACGAGATATTAGTAAAAGGAACTGTGTTTTGGTTTTATTTGGTAGTATGTGTTTTGGCTTTATTTACCCCTTCCCCTGAATATAGGGTGGTCTGACACATTTGGAAGTTGAGTAAGACTTAGAAGAATCACTGGGTTATGATAAAGGACTTCAAAGGATGCTACCCACCAACAATGTCCTCTGGTCCTGGTAAGCCCTGTTGGTGAGCAAGATCAGGGACAGGAACTCGGGAAAAGGCACTCCAGTGGTAGTGAAGAATGAGGCAATGGCCTCAGCACTTCCCCTTCCCCAGGCCACCACAGATACTGGGTTGTCTTTAGCCTTTGAATTTCTAAAGGATCAGAACTTAAAAGACGTCCACCACCACGGAGGAGTGACCTTTCCACAGCGTGGAAGACCCCCCCCCCCCGGCTTGGTGGTGGCCCACGAGAACTTTGCAGTACTTGGCGAGGATTTTCCACTTTTGGCCCAGTATCTCCTTTAGCGTGGCAGCATGAGAAAAGGTGAGCGGAAATCGGAAGTGACTTTGACTTTGGGTTGCAAAGACAGGTTGGGCTGGGTGAGGTGACACATCTTTGATGCCTGAAAGAAGCCCCAGGCTGATGATGTAGGCAAGATGGCCAGGGAAAGAGTCTATTGTCTCACTAAGACCCAGCCCTTTATCACAGTGGCAGCAGGCAGGACAATCAAATGAAAATTTTAAATG